TTATCAAGGGGCCAGGAGGGGGGCGGGGGGGAGGGGAAAGAGGAGCTGACACGAAGGGCTCAATAGAAAGTGAATGTCTAGAAAATAATGATGGCAACATATGTACAAATGTGCTTGATACAATTGATGTTTGGATTGTTACAGGGGCTGTAAGAGCCCTCAAAATATTTAAGAATAAAAATAAATTATATGCAGACTCTTAGGAGTGTTTGTGTTATAGTCTGTGCTGTTTGTTAGGTGCTGTTGAGTTGATTATGTACCCCGTGTACAACAGAACGGAACACTGCCCGGTTCCGTGCATCCTCACGAGTGTTGTCACGCCTGAGCCCACTGTTGTAGCCACGGTGTCAGTCCATCTTGTTTGGGGTCTCCCTCTTTCCCCTGACCCTTTCTACCACTCTTCCACCGACTACCAAGCATGATGTTTTTCCCCCAGGATTGTTCTCTCTTGATCACACGTCCAAAGTATGTGAGATGAAGTTGTGCTATCCTCACTTCCAAGGAGCATTCTGGCCCTGCTTCTTCTAAGACAGATTTGCTTGTTTTTCTGCGACTCCACAGTACTTTCCATATTCTTTGCCAGCATCGTAATTCAAATGCATCAGGTATTCTGCACTCTTCCTTAGTTACTGCTCCACTTTCACGTGGGTACGAGCTGACTGAAGACACCGTGGCCTGGGGGTCAGGTGTGCTCCAGTCCTCAAAGTGACACCCTTGCTCGTCACTACTTTAAAGAAGTTTTGTGCAGCAGTTTTGCCCAGTGCAATTTGTCATTTGATTTCTTGAGGGCCACTTCTAGGAGCATTGACTGTGGATCCAAGCTAAATGAAATCAATCACGATACTACAGTCTCCCCCTCCCCCAGTATTTCATGATGCTGCTTATTGGTCCAGTGATGAGGATTTTAGTTTTCTTTACAGTTGAGTTGCAATCCATATAGAAAATGTCAGTCTTTGATTTTCATCAGCAAGTGCTTGAAGTCCTTGTTTTTAGCAAGGAAGGGTGTGCCATCTGAGTATTGAAGGTTTTAAATAAGCCTTCCTTCAATCCCGATGCTGTCTTCTTCTCCATACAGTACAGCTTCTGGGAGCATTTCTTCAACACGTGGCTGAATAAGCATGGTGAAAGCAGACAACCTTGGTGCTCACGTTTCTGACGTGAACTTCTCTGTTCAAACGACTGCCTCCAGGTCAAAGTGCAGGCTCTGCATGAGCATAATGAAGTGTTCTGGAATTATTAATGTTAGCAAACATAATTCTGAAGATCGAATGCTACAACAACTCAGTTAGCTTATAAATGAATAATCACTGTTCTCCTCCCCCCGCCCCCACCCCAGAAATTAATCACTCACGAGAAGTTTGAAAGCGCCTGTGAAGAACTGAATAACGCGCTGCTCCGGGAGCAACAGGCACAGATGCTGCTGAATGAACAGGCCCAGCAACTACAAGAGCTGAACTACAGACTTGAGTTGCACTCCAGTGAGGAAGCTGACAAAAACCAGACTCTTGGAGAGGCTGTGAAGGTAGGAGTGTTCCTCCAAGGGTTGACTTCTTCCTTGCAGGATTCTTTGAGTAAATGGTACGTATCTAATGAATCTGGGCTAGATTCCAAAATGTGAAAAATAATTTTTTTGGTAAGATCTGATAAAGGATAGACTGAAAGGTGATTATGAAGCATCATTCACAAGCATGCATTCTGACTCATAGTGACTGCATAGGACAGGGTAAAATTGCCCCTGTGGGTTTCTGAGACTGTAACTGTTTGCAGGAGTAGAAAGCCTCTCCGTTCCTCCACAGAGAGGCTGGTGGTTTGAACTGCTGTCCTTGTGGTTAGCAGCCCAATGCATAACAAGTACGCTATATACTGATTTATAATTTGTGTGACTTCATAATAGAATATGACCTTTTCTTGTATATCAACTGCTAGCATTCTGTGATATATTTTTTTCTCTATTTTAATATGAGTAATAGTCATTATGGGAAAAATAAGAAAATATAGGTAAAATTTAAATAATTTCAAATTACATCTTTAAGACATGTTCTTAGTTGTCATTAAGTTTGTTCCAACTCATTGAAACCCCACGTACAAGAGAACAAAACAATTCTCACCATTGTTCTTATATTTGAGCCCATTGTTCAGCCACCGGGTCAATCCACCTTGTCAAGGGCCTTCCTCTTTGTCACTGCCCTCCACTTTCCCCAGCTGATGTCCTTCTCCAGGGACTGGTCTCTCCTGACAACATGTCCGAAGTGTATGAAAATGTCTCACCATTCTTACCTCTGAGGAGCATTCTGGCTGTACTTCTTCTAAGACAGATTTGTTTGTCCTTTTGACAGTCTACAGTACGTCAGTATTCTTCTCCAGCACCATGGTTCAGACACATCGACTCTCCTTCAGGCTTCCTTACTCAGTGTCAGACTTCTCACATGCATCATGAAGCAGCTGAAAATACCATGGCGTGGGTCAAGAACATCTTTGTCCTCAGAGTAAAGTCCTTGCTTTTCAACACTTCATGTGCAGCAGATTTTCCCAGTGCAATACATCATTTGATCTCTTGCATAATGCTTCCATGAGCAGTGATTGGGGAGCCAAGCAAGACAAAATTCTTGACAATTTTAATCTTTTCTCCATTTATCATCATGTTACCTGTTGGCCCAATTGTGAGAATGTTGATCTTCTTGACACTGAGTTATAATCCATACTGAAGTCTATAATCCTTGATATATTCATCAGCAAGTGCTTGAAGTCCTCACTTTCAGCAAACAAGGTTGTGCCATCTGCATATTTCAGGTTGTTGATAAGCCTTCTTCCAGCCTTTATGCTGTATTCTTTTTCTTCACATCTTCTGTTAAAATTTTCATGTGTATTTCTTAGATATTATATTTTGAATATAATATGTAAGTATAAGCAAAGATAGATTAATGAAAATACAATAATACTACATATATTATTTTCTTTAAAAACCATGTTAAGATATTAATAAATATGATTGTACAGTAATTTTTAGTAACTGATGGCCTTCCTTTGTTTGAATGTACTGTAAATTAAAAAATTTTAAATTTAGATTGATTATAGCTTTGTATATGTATGTTTTAAATTTAATTTGATCTTTTCTCTGTTATAAGTAATTTTTCCCCAACAGTTTTATTGACATATAAATTACATCATGTTATTTAATAATTCAATCGCAGTAAGAGGAGTTGTACAGTCATCACTCACTCAGTTTTGGAATAATTTCTTCATTCTTGTCCTCATCATTGTTAGTTCCCTTTCCCCTTGTCAGACCCCCAAGGAACTATTAATCCAGTTACTGTCTCTGTAGATTTACCTATCTGGATTTTATATACAGAAACACATTAATTAGAGAAAAACCTTACCCACCTAACAATAACAAAGTAAAACAGATAAAAAGCTCACTTGAAGAGAAAGTAGAAAACATTAAAAATTTGAACATATTTAAATGGATCGTAAGGGAGATCAAATGATAGGGTGCTAAATTAAATTAACCTACCTGCAACTGTGAAAATCTACTTTTCAGTACATTCTACGTGATAGCAAGGCTATTCCAATCTCTGGACCATGGTCAGAGGGGAATCACTAGGAGTTTAATCAATGTATGTCTTCCGTTCCCTTTTCTTTTTTTTTAAAAGATTTTATTGGGGGCTCTTATAGCTCTTATAACAATCCGTACATCAATTGTGTCAAGCATATTTGTACGTATGTCGCCATCATCATTTTCTAAACATTTACTTTCTATTTTAGCCCTTGGTATAAGCTCCTCTTTTTTTCCTCCCTCCCCACCCTCCCACCTTGATAAATTATAAATTATTAGTATTTTCTTTTCTTTTATTTAAAACATTTTATTAGGGGCTCATACAACTGTTATCGCAATCCATACACACATCAATTGTGTAAAGCGCATTTGTACATCATTCTCAAAACATTTTCTCTCCACTTAAACCCCCGACATTAGGTCCTCATTTTTAAATTATTAGTAGTTTCATATCTTACACTGACTGCTGTCTCTCTCCACCAATGTTTGTTGTTGGTCCCCCTTGGTGTGGTGTGGGGTGTGGTGGGGTGGTTGTGTGAATCATTGCGATTGGTTCCCCCTCCTTTTCTTTTTTAAAAAAAAGAAATAGCTTTAAAATGGGTGAAAAGGAAGATCAAATGCTAAGATCTTACATTTTAACCTATATATGTCTGCCATATTGGACATCACAATGCCCGCTGTCTGATAACAGGCCTGTTCACTGGAGACTTAATCCATGTGTGGGGCCTGCAGATGGCTTCTGGGCTTCCACTGTCCTCCACAGCCTGCAAACCAGGTGTTCACAATGTCCGTTCTGAGACCATTCTCTCCTTTAGATTTGCGTTTTATTATTTACAATCTTTGTATGCCTTAGGCTGGTATGCTTCTTCCATGGGGACTTAATTGATACCTCACTTAGATGTCTGCATGTTTGAAAACAAGCCCTTAAGACCCCAGACATTAAATTATTCTTTCCGATAGACGAGCATCATCCAGTTTCTTCACCACACTTTGCTATAGCACCCATATCTTCAGTGATTTCTTCATGAGGGTGAGCATAAAGCAGGACCATGTCATAAAAACTAATTGTTTTTAGACTGGGGCTAGAATTAAGTGCAAGCTCCAAATCCATTCCGTAATGATGCTTGCTGCTAGGTGAACTTTAGTGATTTGAATCCACTAGCCACTCCTCTGAAGCAAGATGTAGCAGTCTGTTTCCATGAAGATTACAGCCTTGGAAATCTTATGAGGTAGTTCTCCTCTGTTCTGTAAGATTGCTATGAGTTGGAATTGAGTTGACAGCAATGAGGTTATAAGTAACAACGTGTGGCGAAATCTTTATGCACATAACCTTGATTACTTCCTTAGAATAAATTCCTAGAAGAGTAATTACCAGACACAAAGTCACGTACATTAAAAAAATGTATATATTATCATTTGGCGTGCAAAACTTTTTTCTTAATTTTATTTTCTCTTTAAATATATGCAACTGTACTTTCCCTCCATAAAATTTATTGTTATTTTAAAAATTATTCCTAAGTTGATGGATGTGTCATTGACACTTTAATTTGTATCCTTTGATTACTAGTCAGACTGAACATTTGAAAAAGTGTATTGGTCATTAAAAACATTTGACATTTTTATGCGTCATGCCCCCTTAATAGATCATAGAGGTTACTGTGCGTTGAAAAAGCCTGTAACTGTGCCATTCTTGCCTTTTCCTACAATGGTTTGTGTTTTTGTTTGGGTATGGTATCTTCCAGAAGGTGTAAACCTGTTCATATTAATTTCTTAAAAATGCCAGCAGTTTAAATATTTTTGTCGGGAGTGGAGAATCATTTAATGACAACCTCTTAATTAGAACTAGCAGGTGGTAATGCAGAAATGCTCTCTTGTGGGAGACTGCATGGTTCAGTGGAAAAAGCACTGGCCTTGAAACCAGTGTTTCTGAATTCAAATCCCAGTTCCGTCACTTGGGCAAAATACTTAACCTCTCTGAGCCTCAGTTTCCTCTACTGCAAAAATACAGATGATAATTAAGTTACAGGATTTTAAAAGTGAGAATTAATTAAGATGCTGCTTGTAAAGCAAGTATATGCTTGATAACTATTCTCTTGTGTTTCTCAATAATATGTAAAATAGCTATTTTAAAAACTGTTTTACACATAACTTCTTATTTTAAAATAGTTTATCATAATTTTTATTCTTGGCAAAAATAAAATAAGATTCACTAATAGAAAATAGATAAAATATAGTAAGACAAGTTATCCCTGACTCATCATATGAAAATAATTATTGTTGACATTGGGGGGGTTTGCTTTTAATAATTTTTGTATACCTAATATCTTTCATAAATTGTAGTTTGGGCTAGATGTTCAGAAGGGCCTTGTATTATAAAACTGGTCCAGCAAGATCTTGGCTAAGAAGCTTCCTTTAATTCAGTAGTGCATTAAAAAAATAATGGAAACCCCTAAGGACAAAAGTCTAACAACACTGACAAACCCCCGTGAGCTAAAACCAGCGTTAGCACTGTGAACCAATACTGGGGTGCTCTGGGGGCAGATATCAACACCAGTGCTGGTAACCAGGAGACAAAGGTTTGGGCTTTGGCTGCAGGTAAAGGCTGAATGTGAGTCTCCTGCTTTATGAAGGATCCCAGGTCAGTAGTGTTCCATTGTTACTGGTAGAAGCAAATGTAAAATCATTTCTGAAAGCAGTGTTGCTGGCGTTTGCTCTGTAGGATACTCCAGGTTAAGATCAGCCAAGTAACTGACATATGGCAAGACAGACTAATATTTTAATCTTGAATCCAGTTTACTTGCTAAATTCTCTTATCAACTCTAGTACTTTCTCTGAATATTCTAGTATATATATATATATTTTTAAAGCATTTTGTTGGGGGCTCGTACAACTCTTATCACCATCCATCCATCCATGTGTTAAGCACATTTGTACACTTGCTGCCATTATCATTCTCAAAACATTTTATT